CATCCATCCATCCTCTCATCCATTCATCCTACCATCCTCTCATCCATCAATCCACCCATTCATTAATTTATCCATTCATCCATCCATTCCTCCATTCATCCACTCATTCATCCATCCATCCATCCATCCATCCATCCCATTCATCCATCCATCCATCCATCCATCCATCCATCCATCCATCCATCCATCGATTCATCCACTCATCCATCCACTCATCCATCCTCTCATCCCTGGATGGCTCATGGATTTTAAAGCCTAATGATCCATCCCTATGTGGTTTAAATCGGCTAATTAATCTGTTAGCAGTTTTATGTGAGGTGGCTGATTTCATGAGCACTTTTCAGCCTAGTTCTAAATCAATAATACCGTTTAACCAGCCGGTTATTAGAACCACGACTGTACGCGTTAATGCCCCTATTAGTGATCATTTCAGTGTTCATAGTTCACCTTTCAATCACACTTTAAATGGGCGCGTTTTGGTTTTACATCGGTTATACTAAAGCGTGTTAGCGGTAGGAGATGCCTTAACCCGGGAGACCAAAGGGCCCGTGAGGACTTCCCCCCAGAAATCCTCCTAATCAGGTTCAATTACCGAAAATAGAAGAAAAATGTTCAAAGTCAGACCACCTTTACGAGAGGCCCTTTTTCCCGTTTCCTCCAGAGCACAGTCCACTGGAGAAGCCAAAGCTCCAGGGGCGAGCTAACAACCCCGCGATTAGGGCCGGATTTGCAGCCTGCTGAGTCCACGTCAGATCGGCGTACGGAGTCCTGGGACCTGATTTGCGAACCCTCCTCGCCTGTCAGCGGTAATTGTCTAATGGAAGCGAACGGTGTCCCAAATCCGGGCAGAGACGGGAAATCAGAGAAGCTCTTTAGTCGGAGCTCAAGGGCTGTCTTCGGGGAGGAGTGATGGAGAAGCTCTGCTGCTCTTACAGAGGGATGCTAAATAACTCAGCGTGTCTACTCAACCCTGCTGCCCCCAGAAGTTCCCGGGCTGAGACTGGGCCGTGTCAGAATTCATGACCCAGTTTCATCAATTCATAAAACAATTAGAAAAGAAAGACGTTACATTTATTTGAAAAATTTGATGTATGTATGTATGTATGTATGTATGTATGTATGTATGTATGTATG